ATACACCCCGTTTCGACTTTGGCTTGCTTTTTCTTCTTAGTGCATGTTCTTGTTCACGTAAATGCGACCTCTCACCAATGTATTAAAACACTTTGAATTTATACTTATGCGTGATTATATTTGGTCTACGCGAAACATTAATCTTTCTAAACATTTTCTGAGACCATGCATAATATATATTCACAAAATAATGCGATCTTATTTTATATTATGTTGATCTCTACGTCTTTCTGGATCGTTTTGTGATTTTATTCCAAAGATCAGGCAAATAAAATAAAATAATGTGAACTATTATAGACTAGTTTCCTAGCTTTTGGCTCAGCCAAATTGGTTTAATTTTTCATTAGAACTTTGTGATCCTTTTAATTTCCCAGTTCTTTGTGTTCATTAATGGTCTTGACAATAAGTGTGAATTGCTGTGCGAGCCCACCGCACACGACCGCGGTAAACCGGGGTCATGGAATCTATGCATAAATTTGCATAAAATGCGGTCGACCGGCGAGCACCCACCACCACCGCGGTAATGACCGCGGTGTACCGCCCGTTTGATTTCCTACTCTTCCCTTATATTCATATGGAGATTCTAAATCACCACACTTGTATTCATATGGAGATTCTAAAGCACCACACTTGTATTCATGTGGAGATTCTAAATCACCATACTTGTATTTATATGGAGATTCTAAATCATCACACTTGTATTCATATGGGGATTCTAAATCACCACAATTATATTCATATGGAGATTGTAAATCACCACACTCATATTCATATGGAGATTCTAAATCACCACACTTGTATTCATATGGAGATTGACACTGTCACATTTATATTAATTTAATTTGTTATGATCTAACAAACGACATATATGTACCACTGTGTTTGGGTGAGAGAGTATACACATGCTAACTGTAGACCTTAACATGAGTAGACTTAGCTACATTTTATTAGTTGAATTTATTTCATAATGTGCAATGGCTGTATTTTCTAGTGGGTAATAAAAGTCAAACACAACTTTGATTGAAGTTATGTTTAAAACCATGTGCGTTCACCTCTTGCATGTAAATGAGATGGTGTTTAAATTATGAGCAACTTTGCTAAATAGGAGCATAATCCTAAAATCCTATGGGATGATTTACAGAGTTGTCCCAAGGTGATACATGCTAAATACTGGGGATTAACTTCATAAAGCCAATAGTAAGGACTTTGATAATCACTTTGACTGACATTCTATCAAGGAATGCCACTAAGGCTGAATATATATGTATTAGACGTGTACGTGGTCACAAGCAGGTGAAAGTTTCAAAAACAGAACTGTTTGACACGATTTTTGTAATGTAGTATAAATAATGAATTGCGTTCACACAAAGTTATATTATACACACAAAAAAATACAACAGGTACCTTCCAGAGAGTATTCGATTACCACACTTGTAATGCAAATCACTCGGGGAAAGGCTGTTATTGACAAGCTGGAATGACATGCAACAAGAATCAGTTGCTGGAATGCCCCTCTCACTCCTATTTAGATCACGACGACAAGAAAATAAACGAACTGTAATATAATGTCTCACTCTTTTCTTATCAGTCTTCATAATGTTAGCAGCTAATTCATTCGTAACTCGTCAGTATTCAATTCAGACACATTCATCAGTATTCAATTCACACACACGCGATGACGATGTTATTTGTAATTCATACTGAGTATTGTTAACAAAGAACGCTGCAAACACGCCATAATTGTAAACATGTAACAACATTTACAAGGTTACGATTTTCTTCTTTTTGGAGGAACAGGATATTTACTGACCAGTTCACGTCCTGAGTACTTTTTTATTTTTAACCTTCAGGAAATAAGAAAAGAACTGAAACGTTTTTAATGGTTTGTTTACCATGGAAGGACAAAAGTACGAAAGGCTCTTCCTTTTTAAGCAAGTTTATGCAGTGATAAATATTTTTGTTTATAAAAGAGATGTATAGATCTTTTTCAAGATTAAATTTATGATGGTCAGAAAAAGAATCATTAGTCTTATCACACAACATTTAGATTTTCAGAAAATCATTTGATTTTGTAGCAGTGACTGAGATTTTTCCTTCAAAAATGCCATATAAAATAATCAAATTGCAAAAATTGAGTGATTTACGTTATATTGTTATAAATTAATGAGATATTAAAATAAATAACCAATTCTCATGTATTGCACATGTAAAAACCATGTTAACGATACAGTTTGAAAAAACAAGATGGCTGCCAGTTTGTCATTTTCGATTCAAACATGAAACAAATCATCATGGGCATGTATCTCAACATGTATAATGTTGTATCAAATTTGAAGAAAACCTGACAAATCCTGTCCAAAAAATGGATGTCAGTCAGCCATTTTTGATCTGATCGTGAAACAAATTACCAAAGACATGTACAAGAACATATATAATGTATGTGCCAAATTTGAACAAAAACTGACAAAGCATGCATAAGATACCACATTTTCAAAAAAACAAAATGGGTGCCAATCAGCCATCTTGGATTGAATCAGTAAACTACTGCATGTGCATACATGTATGTCCCAGGTAAAGTACTAGG